TTATTTTCTTTTTAGTAATCTCTACACCCAACATGGGGCTCAAACTAACAACCCTGAAATCAAGAATTGCATGCTCTTCTGACTGAGCCAGCCAGGCACCCCCTGTGTTTCTTTTATTAAATTTACTACTAAGTATTTTATTCCTTTTGATGCTACTGTAAATGGACTTGTTTTCCTAAGTTCATTTTCAGATTGTTCATTTCTAGTGTACTGAAATACAACTGAAACACAAAAAACCTCCAATCCTGTACTCTGCAACCTTGTTCAACCTTGTTTATTAGCCTAGTAAGTTTCTTGTAGATTCCTTAGGATTTTCTATATATAAGACCATGGCATCTGTGAATAGTTTTACTTCTTCTTCTTCTTCTTTTAAGATTTTCTTTATTTATTTTGAGAGAGAGTGCGAATGGGGGAAGGGGCAGAGGAAGAGAGAGAATCTCAAGCAGACTCCACACTGAGCACAGAGCCTAATGTGGGACTTGATCCCATGACCCTGGGATCATGACCTGAGCCGAAGGCATATGCTTAACCAACTGAACCACCCAGGCGTCCCCACTACTGGTATTTATCTGAAGAAAACAAAAACACTAATTTGAAAAGATAATGCACCCTTTATTCACTGCAGCATTATTTACACTAGCCAAGATATAGAAACAACCTAAATGTCCATCAATGGATGAATGAATAAAGATGTTTCTCTCTCTCTCTCTCTCACACACACACACACACACACACGAATACAATTCAGCCATAAAAAAGAATGAAATCTTGCCATTTGTGATAATGGACAGACCTTGAAGGTATTATGCTAAGTCAGAGAGAGAAAGACAAATACCATATGATCTCACTTATATGTGGCATCTAAAACTTAAAAGAAATGAACATGCAAAACAAAACTAATAAATACAGAAACAGACTGATGGTTGCCAGAGGGGAGGGGTTGAAGGGTGGGTGAAATGGGTAAAGGGGCAAAAATTTCCAGTTATAAAATAAGTCATGGGGATGTAATATACAGCATGGTGACTACAGTTAATAATACTATTATTTGTATTGTACTGTATATATTGTTCTATGTATTGTATATATTACTTGTATTATATATTTGAAAGATGTTAAGAGGATAAATCTTAAAAGTTGTCAACACAAGAGAAAATTCTTTTTGTAACTTTGTATGGTGATAGATGATGACAAGACTTATTGTGGTGATCATCTTACAGTAGATACAAATACTGAATCATTAGGTTATACACCTGAAACTAATGGTATATGTCCATTATATCTCAATTTTTTAAATCTCAATTTCTGAAAAAAAGAAACAGGGATAATAATGTGAATCTCAGAGCATGTGAACATTATGAGTTCACCTATGCAAAACACACTGCATTAAGTTCAAAAAGCGATAGCTTTAATATACGCCATTGGATATTCTCTGTGAAAAAAAAGGTTTGTGGTTAAAGGAGTCTTGGAAATGTTTCATACTACATCCCCCTTCTCAGAGATTCCCAGGGCACATTAGCATAGTAAAAGTTCTGAAAAGTCCTATGTAAAGGATCCTATTTGTTTTGGCCAAGAATTTCCCAAACCTATTTGCCAAGCTGACCCTCTCCCTCTTTTTAAACTTAACACATTTTGGGAAACACAATTTTAGTTGTATTTAATAAATAAAGGAAGTCACATTAAATTGTTAAAAACTGACCATGTTTTACTATGTTGCTTTCCCCACAGGCATGTATAATTTAAAAGCAGCAGCCTAGGAGAAATAAAGGCTTCTAACCTAGAGAAAGAACAGAATGCTTTAAAAGCCCAAAGGAAATGAGAAATTTCAAGCAGAAGGAGCAGATCAATAATGAGCTATTTTTGGCCATGGAGACATTTCTAGAATTACAGATTCTTGGAGTTTGACAGCATGTTAAAGTTCAACTCCTTTAAATTCTCACCCAGGGCAGAATTTCCCCTTCATCAGTCCAAACCCCTGCTGGCACATACCCAGCCTCCCCAGCTTTAAGCAGCTCTAGTATTTAGGAAATTCTCCCTCACCCTGGGCTGAAATTTGCCTCCTTGGAACCTGCACCCAAGACCATGCTAGCAGAATTTTGAGTGTTTGTGTTTTAGTGAGAGCTGTCCATTTTGGAGACAGCAAATAAAATGCACAGAAATTTTGTGAATCATTACACAATCTAAAGTAACATGATTATTAATTGAGCAGTAAACTGAAAATAAAAATTGTTGGAAACATGTTAATCATACTTCAGTGAAAAAAAGAAGTGTTGGGAACAACTTACATTTTCTCCATCTGTAAAGAGGGCGAATAATCAGAAATTCAGCTATACGGTAAGCAAGGTAAGCAACGGATACAGTATTTACTTTGCAGGTGGAGTTATTTTGCAATTGTCAATTTCCGAGAAGAAAAGGGGAATGTATATTTTAAATGACTCCTGTTTTCTTGTCTTTTTAATTTAAAAAATATTTAAAGAGACATTTTAAAAAACTCTTCACCCAAAAGGTAACCTTCCAGATTCCTTTATTATAAAAACAACTGTTAAATAATTAAAATATAGTGTATGTCTCATAAATACAGGTTTATCAACAAAAGCCAATAATAAGAACAGGGGACGTTATCTGTATTTTATAAAAATGTAGCTGTTTGGGGGCACCTGCGTGGCTCAGTCATTAAGCGTCTGCCTTCGGCTCAGGTCATGATCCCGGGGTCCTGGGATGGAGCCCCGCATCGGGCTCCCAGCTCAACTGGGAGTCTGCTTCTTCCTCTCCCACTCCCTCTGCTTGTGTTCCCTCTCTCACTGTCTCTCTCTCTGTCAAATAAATAAATAAAATCTTAAAAAAAACCCCAAAAACGCAGCTATTTGAACCAATATGGAATTCCAAGGCTTTGTACAAATTAAAACCCAAGGAAAACTCCAAGGGGGTAGATGGAATAGAACTTAAATGAGAGGAGAACCCCCAGAATCCAGGCTCCTCTAAAAATCCCAAGTCATTCAGTAAGAAATCAGGGACTTGGCAAAATCATAAAAAGGACAGGCTGTGTTTTCACAGAACAGTCCTTCTAAAGGAGAACTTTCTAGACTCAACCTCATTTTGCCCTAAACTACTAGCTGGTCACACTTTAGCACCTATACCTCACTCTGACACTGTGAGGCAAAAAAAGGTTCACATTCCTGTTTTACAACTGAAGAAACTGAAGTAAAATCAAAACATTCATTCTGAACAGTACTCAAGCATATATCAGTCCGTACTGGCATTCCAACAACTGGGTGAGCTCAGTGCTAGCTGTGTTCTCCTTTCAGTGAAATAATTTCCTTCAGTTAAATTCGATAGTTTTCGGGGCGCCTGGGTGGCTCAGATGGTTAAGCGTCTGCCTTCGGCTCAGGTCATGATCCCAGGGTCCTGGGATCGAGTCCCACATTGGTCTCCTGACTCAGCAGGGAGTCTGCTTCTTCCTCTCCCTCTGCCTCTCCCACTGCTCATGCTCTCTCTCTTTCTCTGTATCTCTGTGTCTCAAATGAATAAATAAAATCTTTAAAAAAAAATTCGATAGTTTTCTTACTAAAGATAATGGAAAACAAACACAGGCCTGTCGAGGAAAAGAGTCAGTATGAGTTGGGACCCACAAATGCTGTCTCTGAACACGGCCAAGTTGAATGTGCCCTGCTTGCCTAAGAATTTTGTAAGCTGTGCTCAGCTGTAGTGTGTATTAGAATTTACTTACTGACATACAACACAGAGGATGTTTTTGTTCTTGTCTGTCTTTGAATTACAGTAAATATATCACAGACTACATCATCCATCCCTTCCACATGTATTAGGGTAACTTGCCCTAATACACAGGAAACATTTTTTGAGCACCTAATGCGAGGCTGAATAAAACCTGGTCCCTGACTTCATGGAACTGGCAGTCACATGAGAGAGACAGATAAGCAACTCAGTAATTTCCATAGAAAGTGACAAGTCCTTTGCTGGAGCCAGGTGCGTGATGCTCGGGGAATGCCAGCAAGGGTAAACAAATCAGATCAGGTGGTGGGAAAAGGCTTCTCAGAGGAGCTGACTTCCAAGCTGTCAGTAGCAGAGTTAACCACCTCTGACTCCGACTTCGGTTCCCAGCACTCAGGTGAGAAAGTACCTCCTGACCCTGCTTTTCTGAGTGCTTGACACTGTCATGGCCAGATTTAGTGCCTGTGCTCGAAGAAGGAAAGAGAGGGGGAGAGGGAGAAGCTGAAGAAGGGAAGGAGGGAGAGAGCAGGAAAGAGAAAGGGGAGGGGTGAGGAAAAAGGTGGGGGAGAGATGGAGAAACACTGAAAACAGAGCAGGGGCGCCTGGGTGGCTTGGTTTGTGAAGCATCCGGCTCTTGGTTTCGGCTCAGGGGGTGATCCCGGGGTCGTGGGATTGAGCCCCCAATGGGTTCTACACTCAGCTGGAGCCTGCTTGCGATTCTGTCTCTCCCTCTCCCTCTGCCCCTCCCCCTGCTTGTGCTTGAACGCTCACGCTCTCTCAAATAAATACATTTTTAAAGAAAAGAAAAAGAAAACAAAGAGCAGAAGTTAAAAGCTCCATGACAGTTTCCAGAAGTCGCTGGAGATTGCCAGAGGTATGAAGGGTGACCACCCTGTGCCTGAGCAGTCTATGTTCTCGACGTGGATGTACAATCTAATCTATGACCACTCTCTCTTTGCCAATCAACAGGACACGGGAATGCAGTCTCCTATCCAGGTGAACTTGAACCAAACCAGTGGGGTGCTGCCTCTACCACCAGTGAAGGCAGCAAAATGAAGGCACAGATCCCTGTGCTCTCCCGGAAAATGAGGCCAGGCTCACTACCAATTCCCCAAGGTGCCTTCTCCACATAGAACGCACAAAGAACCCCAAGTCTTCCGCCTTCCCAGAGATGCAACACAACTGTGATTCCATGCTCGCCTCCTCTGGGATCCCATTCCCCACTTGGGACTCTGCCAAAGATCTGGGGTGGGGGGACAAGTATGAATTGTTACCTTAGATTGTCTTCCAGGGTCTCCTCATCTGAAGAGAAGTTCCCATTGCTGACACTCCGGGGAGAGTGACTCTTATTCCCTGCTGATGCCTCCTGGGACCACAAAGTGTCTTTCTTTTTCCTTCTGCCAAACAACTTCTTAAAAGGCTGGAATTTACCTCCTTTCTTCTTGTCTGTGGATTATAAGATAAACACACGCTGCAGCCTGACAGGGCTGCACCTCTGAGCCTGAGAGCAAATTACAACTGAGCTGCCTCTGGCCAAGGGAGCTGGGGCAAAGGGCGGCCATCAGAGTGAATGAACGACCAAGCCCTGTGCCAGGAATGTCAGGGCCAGTCCCTGGCTGGGCACAGTCAGGCAGAGACATGCCAAGGGCACAGGAAGTCTCCTGCCACCGGGCTCCCAAGAAGCACCTGGGGCGACACGGAGGGGTTCCGAGCTTCATGGTGGCCGCACAGTAGCCCCCTGCACATGCCACACAAAGGTAGCACCTGCTTTAACAAAGCAGATGGCTGGTGCCCTTCTCCACAGAAGCTGAGAAAACACGTAAGTCAGACAGGTGTTTAAAAAATTTATATACCTTTACATATGTAACTTTCTATCTCTGTGTGTGTGTGTATATATATATTCTCCACTGAGAATCACCCTGTTTTAGCCCTTGTTACATACAGAAGATAACTGCTAACTCTTGGCATAAGCTTTGCCCCCAATTCCCTCCATCGCTATATATTTCCAGTTTATTTCTCCTGTCTCCTTTTAAAATCTACTATGAAGAGCCCCAAAGGAGTTGCTATGAACATTTTGCCATATATTACTTCAACCAGTCAGGACCCAGGCTCAGGGCCAGCATTTCCGACAGATATTTTAGGTAATACCATTCAGTTCTGTTTCTTCAATCACAAATGCATCCATATCACTCCGCTCCTACCTCAGGAAAGAAAGCGCCAAACCAGAAGAAGCATCTTTTCAGATCCTTCCTTTTCTTTAAGAAACCATTTACCAGTGGTCAATCTTTTCAAATTTTATTTATTTATTTATTTAAAGATTTTATTTATTTATTTGAGAGAGAGATAGTGAGACAGAGCATGAATGGGGAGGAGCAGGAGAAGCAGGCTTCCCATGAACAGGGGGGATCACGACTGAAGGCAGATGCTTAACCGACTGAGCCATGCAGGTGCCCCCCCTTTTTAATTACTTAATCCTTACTATGCACCACTGCTTTAAGAACTGTCCAAATATTAATTCAGTTAATCCTCACAATGACCCTATGAGGTCGGTACTATTAACATCCTCGTACTACAGATGAGGAACCTGAGGCATAGAGAGATGAACTAACTTGTCTATGTCATGGGAAATGTATCTTTGAAGCTGGAGTCAAGAGCTCTGAGGAAAAAGAAAAGATGAAAGCTCGCAAGGTGTATGGAAAAGTACCTGCACAAAACACACAGGTATGAGTCCCCATCTGAGTATCAGAACCCCCGGACCTCTGCTAACCAGAGTCTACGGAGAAATCTGGGTATAGAAATGAGGTTAAAGATGTGCAAGGTAGTCATCTCATTTCTTCTGGTGATTTCAGTTCTAGCCTTTCTGAGACAGAGTCTGAAGTGGGAAGAAGTAGTTTAAACCACTTTGCCCTGAACTGTGATGTAAGATACTAAGAAAGCAGATAGAACAGTGATCAATCACAAAAAGACAACAGCCTGGGATCCTTACTATAGGTGCAAAGAGGCCTTCAAACTACAGTGGTCCCTGAAACAACAATGTATTCTATCACACTTAAGAGGAAAGGTCCCTTGGTATATCAGATGCCTCCTATCAATAAGGCTTTGTGCTAGGCATGCAGTCCTTAAGCCAGGGTTAAATTCTTTTCACTGTGTTTATTATTTAAAAGACAGTACCGGGGCGCCTGGGTGGCTCAGTTGGTTAAGCGACTGCCTTCGGCTCAGGTCATGATCCTGGAGTCTCGGGATCGAGTCCCGCATCAGGCTCCCTGCTCGGCGGGGAGTCTGCTTCTCCCTCTAACCCTCCTCCCTCTTGTGCTCTCTGTCTCTCATTGTCTCTCTCTCAAATAAATAAATAAAATCTTTAAAAAAAAAAAAAGACAGTACCATGCAGTCTTGATGATCACGGCTTTGTAATTTAGCTTGAAGTCAGCCATTGTGATTTGGTTTTCTTTTTCAACACTCCTCTGGTTATTTGGGGTCTTTTCTGGTTCCATACAAATTTTAGGATTATTCCAGCTCTGTGAAAAATGTCGATGGTATTTTGATAGGGATTGCACTGCATATATAGATTGCTCTGGGTAGCATAGACATTTTAACTATACTTATTCTTCCAATCCATGAGCATGGAATGTTTTTGCATCTTTTTGTGTCTTCCTCAATTTCCTTCATAAATGTTCTGTAGTTTTTAGAGTATAGATCCTTTACCTCTTTGGTTAGGTTTATTCTTGGTATCCTATGGTTTTTGGTGCAATTGTAAATGGGATCGATTCCTTAATTTCTCTTTCTTCAGTCACATTGTTAGTGTATGGAAATGCAACTGATTTCTGTGCATTGATTTTGTATCCTGCCACATTAGCCAAACTGTGGAAGGAACTGAGATGTCCTTCAACAGAGGCATGGATAAAGAAGATGTTGTTTATAAATACAATGGAATATTTCTCAGCCATTAGAAAGGATGAATACCTACCATTTACATCAACGTGGTTGGAACTGGAGGGTATTATGCTAAGTGAAATAATCAGAGAAAGACAATTACATGGTTTCACTCATATGTGGAATATAAGAAATAGTGCAGAGGATCATAGGGGAAAGGAGGGAAAACTGACTGGGAAGTTATCAGAGACGAAGACAAACCATGAGAGAGTCTTGACTATGGGAAACAAGCTGAGGGTTGCGGAAAGGGCGGTGGGTGGGGGTATGGGGCAGCTGGGTGATAGGCATTAAGGAGGGTATGTGATGTGATGAGCACTGGGTATTATATGCAACTGATGAATTACTGAACACTACATCTGAAATTAATGATGTACTATATGCTGGCAAATTGAATTTAAATAAAAAAAGATAGGAAGTGTGTTCAATACAATTTAAATCATAACAAAAATGGTAAAAACAAAACAAATTGGAGGGTTTGATTTCAGAATGTTTGTATGTTTTCAGTAGTTACTTAAAAAAAAAAAAGATTTTATTTATTTGACAGAGAGAGAGAGAGCCCACAAGCAGGGGGAGCAGCAGAGGGAGAGGGAGAAGCAGGCTCCCCACCGAGCAGGGGGCCCGATGTGGGGCTCAATCCCAGGACCCTGGAACCATGACCTGAGCCAAAGGCAGATGCTTAACTGACGGAGCTATCCAGGCTCCCCATAATTTAATTATAGTTAACTCCCTTGGTTCTAGCTCAATTGAACACCACCAAACCCACCTTGACTTCAGAGCAAGTGATGATTTTTTCCCCATCAATAAATTCTGACATAATCTAAAATTCTCTACTTAGCTTAAGCTAGATATGTGGTCCAGGCCAGGGATAATGATGCCATAACTGATACTCATAGAATTTTGCTATGGTCTTTTAGAATATTTCTGATTAGAGAATTAGGGATTAGATACTTCTGCAGTGGGAAAAAGGCAATCAATATAAAAGGAAAAAGGAAGAGTTTCACCTCAGAAATAAGTGAAATGTAGTACAAATTAGTGTGTGACCATTTATAATAATGCTGCCAAATCTAGAAATCAGGTGTCAGTTACATATTTTGAGCTTTGGACAGTCACACAGAAAATATTCATTTATTTCATTAGTGCCAGAGACCAGTTATACAATGTAATGATACCTGTACCATCCTAGAGAATTTCTTTAATTTAAAATTTTTAATTAACTCATTTTATATAAGGTCAGCTCTTTTAACACTTGCCTGACGTTCTCTGATGGTCTTCAAAGACTACTAATTATATTCATTGTTTATAAATACAATGGAATATTTCTCAGCCATCAGAAAGTGAATATACTATCATTTATTTATGTCTTTTACTGCTGGTGGATATTTGGATTGTTTTCAGTTTTTTGCTATTATGAACATTGCCTCTTGGAACATTTTTTTTTTTTAAAGATTTTATTTAGGGGCACCTGGGTGGCTCAGTCCTGGGATCAAGCCCCGCATTGGGCTCCCTGCTCCGCGGGAAGCCTGCTTCTCCCTCTCCCACTCCCCCTGCTTGTGTTCCTGCTCTCACTATCTCTCTGTCAAATAAATAAATAAATAAATAAATAAATAAAATCTTAAAAAAAAAAAGGCAAGTAGCTAATAAATTTTATGAAACATTGCAATTCTATGGCACAACAACCATTATGAAAACCTGAGCACGGGTCTATGAATATCCATTAAATAAACTATTTTATGATCAGTTTATGATTTGGGGGCTGCCTTGTCTCCATAGAATCAACTGGATTAAGTGCATGGTTATCACTAGCAGCTATCTTCCTTCATAGGTAACATCAACCCTTACTGTGAATATTTTTGTACAGATGGGGTCTAAAAGATCAAAGCAGTTTTAACAATGTAGTAAAACAGAGCACTTCTGCAATGGTAATATGAAATACTCCAAGATACAACTGCCATGCATTAGAAGTATGTATAGTTTAGCAAAGTCATCTCCAACATTAGCGTATTTAAGTTGGCATTTTAGAATTTTATAACACAAATCTATTTTCGCTGGGTGGTTGGGACAGTGGGGGGAAAAGGCGAGGGAGAAGGAAGAAAGGTTATTCCTACTAAATTTGTTTTTACCGGCTGCAGCTCTAGTTAGGGGTTAAGTGTGTGGGCCCCAGAGACAAAGAGTACTTGGCCCGAATCCTGATCCAACTTTTACTAGCCATGAAACATCTGCTTACCAGCCTCTCTGGAAATTTACCATCTTAAGTGGTAAGACTGAATTTATAGTAGAAAAGGCAGTGGCTGCTACATTTTCTTAATATTTCAGCAATTTTCTGTTGCAATTTTTCACATGAAAGAATCTATATATGCATATAGACTGCTTCAGGGATCACAGTAATTTTCATGCTTTAAGTACTGAATTAATTTATTTTCATCATCCAATAATTACTTTAGGGAATTTTTTTTCATTTAAAAGGGTGCACATTATCCATTATGTCATGGATATAATTACATGCCATTTGATGGCTG